TTTAATCTCAGTACCAAACCTTATAAATATCTACAATGATATGTAAATAGCTTTATGTATGATTGTACATTATTAATGCGTACATCTTCATATATCTAATGTTATACATACATATGAATTTTTTCTTTCAGACAACATTCAATTTAGAACCATTTTTCTTATGACGTCATCATTTTAAAAATAAAATCATTATTAAATGTTTGTTATTATCAAAAAAAAAAAGAAAACGAAAAAAAGGAGCATATCAAAACGAATAAACAAAAAGGAAGGAATAGAAATTTTTTAAAGAGTGTAATCACGTTTAAGATAAAAGTGGCAATTGATGCATGCTTTCATTTCTCAAATTAATTTCGTTATTGTAAATTTTGTAAAAATCTTTGTAAATTTATCTAACATGAAAATCGATTATTTTAAGTAAGTTTAAATTTAAATACACCATGATTTTGTGATTAATTCCCTAAAATATTAATAAATTTCAAAAAAAGTACGACACATACACATACGTAATATGTAAGCCTTAATTCCTGAGAAATTTTTAAATTTTAGCATGTGTAACAATAATTTTATTTCATAAAAAATTTAAAAGAAAAGATTTTCATTATCGAAAATCGATTAAGTCTGCTTGAAAATTGATTTAAATCAATATAGACTGCTTTTTTAGATTTAGTTTAAGAGCATTTGAAAAACACGTTTGTACTTCAAAAAGTCAGTCACTTCTAATATAGAAATAATAACATAATTCTAAAATTTAAACGAAAATTCAAAATAAACTCAAGATTTGTTATAATATCTGTTGTAAAATTTCAGATTAATTAAATCGTTAAGTTCTCGGTAAATCAGTGTTAAAAAGACATGTGTTTTAGGAGCAAAACGGAAATTATAAAATTCTTACAGCTCAATTAATAATAAAAATTAAAGTATAAGCTAACTGATACAACATCAGTAAGTAATTAATGGTGTTCTAATAAATAAAGTTAGATCAAATCAATGGTTCGTATTTAGCACTTTTCAATTTATTAAGGGTTTTAAGGGTTAATTGTGTGAGTTAAGAAAAATAATTATATTTTTTAATGTCATGGAATTTACCGTTAGCTTTTTGCGTTTATAGAAATTTGAATAAGCTTGCGTTTTCGGAAATATAAGGCGTCAAAAATTTAAATTTTAAAAATTTCAAGAGGCGATAACTTGAGAGGGGGTGGAAACGGAAAAACATTTTCTTCTAACAAAATAAACTATTTATTAGTATCTAAAAGCTCCTAAAAATTCAGGCTCCTTCAGACCCCAGGATGTCTAGAAGAAAAACCACATCAAAAATTTGGAAAAAACGGATTTTAGATAACGGCAAATTTGAACGGCCATTTTGTTTTTTTCTAGTTTAACTACAGTATGCCACGATAGGAGAAGCCAACTACCGCCTTTCTGCTTTTGCAAAATTTGAAATATGCTTATAGTTTCATTGCAACAAATAGATAAAATAGCCCATTTTTGGGGTTTTGGGGGGTATAACTTTTAGAGGGAGGGGAGATAGGTAAACATTTTATTCTGCGGAAATAAGTTTCTAGTAAAGATCTATGTACATATTAAATTTCAGCTTTCTATCTTGAAGGATGTAGAAGTTTTGTAAGCATGTTCACGAACGGACGGACAGAGTGAAACCAATAACCACTTTTTTTCAAAATTTTTTTGTAAAAGTGCTAAAAATAATTGTAAAATCCAATAGTACCGAAAAAAAAAATTAAAATAAAAAAATTTTCTTTTGATGTTAGCAATACCTTTGTCCCTAAAACATAATCGTATTATATGAGTAAAAGAAATTTTCTCATTCTATAATTATCCTGTTCTTGTCACCTAAAAATAACTATGAAAAATTCGTTATGAAAAATATAAATAAAAAAAAATTGATTTTTCGTATGTTTTAATTTTTAATCAAATTAATTTACTATGAATTTCTTGTTACTTATTATATAAATAGAAAATTTTTAACATCCCTTAAAATTTTACTATCTTATTTTTCTATATATGTACATGTATAATATTCAAATGAAAGGTCTTTGAAAATGAAATACATATAAATCTATTGAACCTTACGTAAAATAACTTGAATTTCAGTACGTATACTTTGAATTTCAGTAAAATGCAAAATCAAAATTAAAAAATGAAGGTATTAGTTCTTAAATTTTATATTTTTCGTAATACTATCAAATTGTGTTTATTTTCAATTCTATTATTCAGAAAAAAAAAAATTGAAAAATCAGAAAATAAAGTTGAAAATGAACTGCGAATTTAAACAGTGAAAAAATGCTTTTTGGTAATAATTCAAGATTTTGTAAATTGAATGTATGGCCGTTTACAAAAAATACAGATCTAACGCCAACATTACTAATTCAGTAGTACAAATTTAACGATAGACAATATTACGCATTCAGTTAGACAATTTTGATTTAAACGCTTTTCGATTTAAGGTGAATTTAATTAAATTTTTGCTTTAAAATTTCCTCACCGTAAATTGTAAAAAAATTTGGAACTTGTATAGCTCTGCACATTTTATGTAGGTTATATTCGAAATGTTTAAAAAATTTATTCACATGGGAATTTCTTATATTGTACGATCAACATTATAGCTTATCTTCATACATACATATATTCACGTAAAAACTTCCACATGGCATAGTAACTTACAAATATATAGATACATATTTATTATATAACTTGAAATAACTTAATTCAATCTGACATTTCTATCGACATCATCTAAATTATTTTATATATACATTACAAATATGTTTATATCACAGACTATTTTAAATATACATAAATTGTATCTAAAAACGAACTTGCAGATATATGTATACAAACGTATATAATAATGAATATAATATAAATACATATACACATTTTTTTTATAGAAATTAACGATTTTTCATTCATGAAAAAAAATATTTTTTTTTGCTAAGTTTCATTTTTATATTTAATTTACTACGCAATGTAGGAAAATTTTATATACATCCGTATTCACAATATATTTAGTAGGTACATATGTATGTATTTATACAAACACTTTTGTAACATATATGGTAAATTCTTAAACGTCAAATTTTACAAAATCTGAGTTGTCTGAGTTTACGGATACTCTACTACGTTTTTACTCTCAGTCAAAGTTTAAATTCTTAAACGTTTAAAAAAAGTCAATTAAGCGTCAAAATTGTAGATTTTTTTTTTTACATGCAGACAGTCTGACGTAGTAATTCAGTAAATAAATTTGATGTGTTGAGTGACTATCATTACGTTAAAAATAATATAAAAAATATTTTTATTGTTAATTTTTAATATGTAAGTATAAAATTATTTTAAATCTAAAAAAAAATTTTTTTTTGTTTTGACGTTTACGGATGATCAAAATTCAAAGTCAATTACGGGTCAAAAGTTTACTAGATTTCTGTCCGTAAAAGTTTTAGTTTCAGACAGTTTGCAGACTAAAATCAAAATTTTGACGTTAAAGAATTTGCGGATATTGTATTCTTTCTTAGTTACATATTTTATTATAGGATACATAATGTACATACATAGATAGATTTATTATGTATAGTATATTTCAAAGCTATTCGGCACCTACAAAAGTTTATTTTATCTGCTTAAAATTTTTTATTTTATGTTTTTTTTTTCCATATTTTTTTTAAGTTACTCGTATTTACTATTTTTATTCATATAAACCTATATTCATTAATATAAAATTTTAAATATAACACCCCTAAAAATAAATTACCAGAACTTCGTGACAAATCAAATGTTAAGAACGAATAATTTAATTATGTATAATTATACATATTTCTATAAAATAAATTAAAAACAAAAAAATTACTTCAAAATTGCAGTAATACTGATATACTGCACAATTCGGCAATAATAGCTCATAAGCTACGCAATAAGATAGATACTCGTATAATAAGAATGCATTTTTAAAATTTTGGAGTCAGTCACCAAAATTCTGACAACCTTATCGCATGCAAATATATTATGATGGCGTGAAGTAATGTTATCACATCTACGTCTCATACTAAAATCCGTGTGATTAAACAGTTTAACACGTTGAAAAATTTACACAAAATTTACATAAAATGAAAAGATTTCTTTATAAAATAAAAATTATGTGTAGAGCTTAAAAAAACCTATAGTATGCAAATTTCAAAATAGGCGACAAAAAAATTAACCATATTATTCAATTAAAAAACAGTGATAACTTTTTCTTATATCTATAAAATTGTCCAAATTCGAATTTTAAAGAAGCATTATACATTTTGGGGGTGTGAAATTTTAAATACAAATCTACTTTTCTTAAAAGGTTTCAATACCATTATGAAAACTATTGCACAAATATATGTAATAAAATAGAAAGAATCAAATTTTTGTGAATTAAATTATAACATAGTATAACATGTGACTGTAGTTAGTGTAACATGTATGGATGAAGAAAAATTTGAAAGAAAATTTTAAAAGCATTTCGCTCTCCAAAAAAAAAAAAATTATAAGCTAAATTTGTTTTTCTTCCCTATATGTATGTATTGCTAACATCTTTTAAATATATAAAACAATATGATTATATACACAAGCATATGCACGTATCTCTCAAGAAAACTTAAGTATTTCTGGTGCAGTACATAATCCTATAGAAACATGAATTACACCTCTAATGTCATTATTTTATTCATTATTATTTTAATTATATTGCAAAGCTGCATTAAAATTTATATTTTAACAATTTTAAACTAAAGATTATTATATTTTAAAAAATACGTGCTATGAAAGTATGAAATAAACTTAACCAATTCCGTATACTTAATAAACGGAAGTTTATCAAATTAAAAGAAAAAATTTAAAAGGAGTGGTGAAAATGTCCTTTATCGTTTTATAGTATCTGTTTTTTATTTTCTTTTTTTGTTGAAATTTTACTTCATGTAAATTCTAGCAGTTTTATGTAGTTAAGATATACAAAAAAAACTTACCGGAATATTTGAGGATTTCAAAAACTCTAACAAGGCTTCAAGAGATCCAAGAGTCGATGCTTGAACATAGACACCCCTTTCCTTTAATTTAATATGGCTCAATGCATGTTTAAGTTCACGTGCGACTTCGTCCCTAATTATAATATAGTTTTATTATATAATATCACAATGTTTTAATAAATTGTTAAAACGTACTTGCAAATTTCTACTTCATCTGGTTTGTGAGCAATCAACAAATTTATTCCAGCAATTGCTTTTTCTAAGTCTTTAGCAGCAATCTTAACTCCTTGGGCAGCTTTAATCTCCTTATATTCTTGATATGCATTCTAAAACATTAATATGCGTAAAACATAGACTTTTTCTTCATTATTGCAAAAGAATTAAATACCTTTACTCTTAATTCTTTTAAAGGTTGTGGCATCAGTAAACTTCTAATTTGTGTAACGATTGGACCATCCGTGCCAGCTAAAATCATAGTTTCACCCTCTCTTAATTTACCATTTATAAGAATTGCATCGATAGTAGTTCCTAAACCAGGAATAGCTTTAACTTCCAATATTGTAGCTTGCAAATCTTCACTATACATTAAACGTTTCGCTAACATAGTTTGGCAAAAATCTACAATTAAATATAACAAATTTCCCATGCCTTCTCCTGTAATGGCACTTGTTGGCACTAAAGAAATGTATGTGCGAGGATCTGGATTTTCATAAAATAAAGCTGCATTAAGTCCTTGTTCTGCAAACTGTACAATAACTTCCTTAGATCGCTGATTAAATTCCAATTGCGTATTACTTTGTTGCCCTTTTATAATATCGCGGATATCTTTGCGTGGCATCGTCTGCCAGTCGTACAAACGATCAATTTTATTTAAAGCTACAATAAACGGACATTTTTTTTGTTTAAGCAAATTAATTGATTCAATTGTTTGTGGTTCCAACCCATGCATAATATCGACAACTAAAATAGCAATATCACATAATGAAGATCCGCGGTTTCTCAAGTTACTAAAAGATTCATGTCCAGGGGTATCAATAATTAGTAAACCAGGTAATTTATGTTGCAATTCTGATGAACCTTTTACAATTTTAGTTTGCTCTTTAATAGCCTCAATTGGAACGTTTGTTGCTCCAATCTGTTGCGTTATACCGCCAGCTTCAGAATCTTGAACATGTGTACGCCGCAATTTATCCAATATTTTTGTTTTCCCCGTATCAACGTGACCTAATACACAAACAACAGCAGCTCGTAAGTTCTCTAAATTACGTTTCTTTTCTGATTCTTCACGTCTTTTTTCAATACGAGTCATTGCCCTCTCACGCTTGGCTTGATCATCAGAACGACCTTCATCATTTTCGCCTACACTTTCATTGTCTTCATCTTCATCAGAAACTTCACTTCCCATACTTCCTTCTGAAGACTCTTCTTCACTTTCTTGTTCCTGTTTATTACCTAAAGTCTCCTTTGACGGCTTTTTATCTGACGTTGTTTCTGGGGTGGTATTATTTTCTTCATCAGAAGAACTTGCATCCCAAGCTTCTTTAACTTCATCTCCTTTTTTCGAAACATCTTCAGGCACCGGGGTTGAATCTTTAGATCCCTCACCGCTTTTATCTTGCTCACCTTCAGTTTGTCCTTCTTGCTTACCCATCTTTTTCTTATTAGGACGAATTCTTGTACCAGGACGGGGCCGTTTTTCAGCAGGGTCAGGGACATCTAATCCTTGGGCTTTCAATGCTTCTAACATTGCCTGAGCCTTAGCCCGATCTTCTTTTTGTTTTTTCGTCAAGAGTTTTCCCTCAGCTTTTAGACGAGCCTTTCTTTCTTGCTCTTTTTGTTTCCTCTTCTCTTTTCTTTCTTGCTCTAAACGGATGGCTTCCAAACGTTGTCTTTCCCGTTCTTCTGCTTGGCGTATACGTTCTTCTTCTTCTTTTTGCAAGCGTTCCTCGTCCTCTTTAATTTTTTTTAAACGTTCTTGCATTGCAGCGACCATTGCTTTGCTTACACCTTTTTTCTTATCATCTTTTTTTTCCTCTTCTTTGTCTTTTTTACCTATAAGCCAAAAATTAGTTGCATTTTTGTAACATACATTTATTTTTATTAACCTTTTTCCTTCTTCTTATCCTTTTTGGATTTCTTGTCACCCTTTTTGTCATCATCAGCCATATCCTCTTCATTTTCAGCCATCTTAACGATTTCTTCGGAAGGCTCTTTAGTTTCGGATTCATGCCTAACTTTCTGTTTTGGTTGTTTTTCCGGTTTTTCTTGTATATCTTCACTGGTTTCTTGGATCTGATCTGATTTCACTTCTGCCACCTTTTGCTTGGCTAAGGCTGCCTCCCTTTTTTGCCTTTCTTTCTTTTCTTTCTTTTTTTGTGCAGCTGTTTTTACAGTAGAATTTTCATCATTTTCTTCCTTAATTTCCGAGTTGATTTCATCTTTTGCACTCACCGAATCAATCTCATTTTTTCCAGCCTTTTTGCCTTTTTTTTTCTTTGAAGATTCATCTTCTATATTGTCTTGAGGCGTCAAAACTGATTGCTCTACCTTCACACCACTATATTCAGCTTCAAGTTCAGCTAAAACCTTGTCTAGATCTTCGTCATCTTCGTCCTTCTTCCGTCTGGCTTTTTTACCTTTTTTACCTTTTAAATCATCTTTCAGAGTAGATTTTCCTTTCTTTATTTCTTTTTCCACGTCACTATCTGTTTCAGGTTCAGGGCGAGTTTGAATTTCGTTGCCGTCGTCATCATCGTCTCCAATCAATAGATCAAATCCTGCCTTTTTTGCCGGTTGAGATCTTCCTTTTTTCTTCGGCTGCTCCTCCTCACTCTCAGAAGTGTTGTTATCCGACAACTTTGGGCCAGATTTACCAGATTTTACTTTCAGTTTACTTACTGATTCCGCCAGTTTCTCAACTTCCCCTTCATCATCAGAAGATTGCTTTTTCGAAGATATTTTCTTAGCATTTTTTCCTTTTTTATTTTTTCCAATTTTTTCATCATCTGATAATTTAGTTTGCCTTGAATCACTATCAATTTCACTAAAAGGAATAAATTAAATCTTATGTTTATCGTTTTCTTCACAAAAAAGGGAAAGTGAAACGTCTGAAATATAGTCGACGACGACACAATTTTGATGTTATAAAAATATTTTTTTTTAACTTACATCTCATCAGCCGCTGCTATTTCCTTCTTGCTCTTTTTTGTCTTAACCATTTTGCTTCTTCAGTAATCAAGGCTTTCACTGTTACAATATTACTTATCGACAATTAAAAACAAAATATATTGTTTAAATTGCAAAATTTTAATGTTCTACAACACAATGCAAAATTGTTGCGTATTTGAAGGTTATGTTTTAGAATTTGACATATGACAGCTGTATCCTTTCAATATCAATGTCAAAATTAAAAAATTTTAATTTTTACAAGAGCATTACCACATCACCTACAAAAGAATAATATACCGAAAGTTTACATAAGTCAGTTACTAACAAGAAAAATACCACATAAATAACAATTACACTCAACAGCATAGGTGGTCCAATTTTAAATTGCTACATTGAGGTCAACTAAAAGTGGATTTCGAGTTCATATAAACATTACTTGACTTGAAATTTTTAAGCCAAGTCGCCCCGATAAAATTATTAGGTTGACTTGAAAATCGACTGCATATACAGCTAATATGAAACTCAAGTCGATTTAAAGTAGTATTTATTTCAATCTGTACAGTATATACCCATTTCAAATTTCAAGACTATTACTATATAAACAAAAATATATAAACGAAGTAAGTAATTTAAGCAATTAGGTTAGGTTCGGTTAGATCGACGCGGCTACCGCAAAGTACACATAGGCCAGTAAAGCCCATTATCGTACCTCCGGATTCACAAGATTCCCCGCCCTCACGAGAACCAGCCCGAGCTTTTTAGAAACCGGCTAAGGCCAATTTAAGCAATTAGTCTAATATAAAAATAATTTATATATAACATATGTATATAAATTTGTTGGACGCCTAATTTCGAATTTCGAAAAGCAAATTGACAATAAAAATTTTTTTGAGAACGACTTACCTATGCAAACACTTGATTACATAAGTAAAAGCAAAGACATTATAATTGTATTTTTAATGTCTTTGGAAAAGTCAATTATTTGCAGCTATATGCATTAATTTTCTGAAATTATTTCATTATTTAACATTTCATTAATTATCTTTTTGGATCCTAATAGAAGTTATATTCTTTTCAAGGGAATTCCACGAAATCAATTATTGTATGACTCTCAGATACTCCATTCCTTTACTTTTTTGCATTATATGTAGCGTATGGTTCGTTCATTTATGTGATAATTAGACGATAGGATAGAGTGAAAAAATAAAGAGTTGTAATTGGATTATCAAAAATACCAATTCTCTGATTCTTAATAACTTTTTTATAATGAATTTTTGTTTTAAGATTTAAAACTTAATATGAAAGTTTATGAAAAACGGAAACTTACTATCCGAAATTCCGTAATATTTTTCAAAAATCTCTGAATTAAATAAAGTATAATGGCAGATTGTCACATTTTGATAGTTTTGTTTTTTCTATTGTGAATAGTTACTTTGACATGTCAGAACAAACTATGACGCAAAAATTCAAAATTTGTGTTCAATTATTTTATGTGTAGTTATTGTTTATTTTAGTTTATTTTAAAAATAAAATTTCAGATCTGCATTTAAAAAGTAATAATTGCAGAATAATAACAAGCAATGAATGGGTTTGATGATGAACATTTAGATCGTCACATTGTAAGTACAAAAGGCTCTAAAAACATTTATAAAAATAGTAAACATAAAATTTATTAAGGATGCTACATTAGATTTGGGCGGAAAACTTTATCGTTTGGCTAAAGGGTGTTACTTAATAGGCAAAAACTCAGTAGATTTTGTTACCAAGGATGAGGTTCGTTGGTAAAATATTAAATTTGAAAATAATAAACTTTAATTTTTTTAGTCTTTGGACGGAAAACATGCATTAATAAATATTATAGATTCTCGACATCAAATCATAGATCTGCAATCTAAGAGGGGAACATATGTTGATAATGAAAAAATTGATCGCTGTTATTTGATAAATAACAAAGTTTCTACAATTCGGTTCGGCAATCTTAATGCCAAGTACACTGTGTTAAATCAGGTTAATATAATTAGTTTTAATTTTACAAAAATTTCAAAAATAAATTTTCAGTCTGACAGTGGATTTATGGACAATAAATCTACAACACCAGACAAAGACAATTTTGATATGGTCGCAGGTAGTCCACAACAAAATAGATATTTGAAAACTCGCATCAACAATCAACGCTTCGGTTCAACCAGTACTTCAACCCCCAACCACGATATTAAACTATCAGAGTCTAAAATTTTGAAAAATAAAGATAGTTCTCGTTCGAGCAATGTAAGTAATAGTACGGTTAATCACAGTTTTTTTGTACCAGAGACTCAACATTTTGATGAGACAAGGCAACAAAGCAGAAATAATATTTTTGATTCTGAAATCGCCGAAAATGTGAAACAATTTATAAACGATAGGTCTTTAGACGATGAATATTATATACCAGAGACACAAGAAATATTTTTACTTTCAAAAAAAGAAAAAACAAATGAAATTCTTAATATTAGCACTCAAGATTTTGGCGAGAATGATGTTATCTCAAATAATGATTTTTCTCAAAACTTATGTCCTTTGCTTAGAAATACAAGAAAAAATTCTTCAACGTTTAGTGAAGATGTTACAAAAGTTGTAAATGGCCTCAAAATAAATAGAAACTCGAACGATAATGAAAACACACTTCAAGTGGAGTGGAATGAAACCCAATTTGATAATCGTAGCGGCGCCACTACTCCCGATATAGATTTTGAAGGTGTATCTGAAGAAAAACAACCGAATAATAACATTTTAGTAGATCAAAGGTAAAGGTGCAAGTTCATATGTTTTATTTTAATTTCCAAATTCAGTATTATTTGTTAAATAGTAATAAAACATCATTGTGCAACGAAAATTCTGACAACAGTTCGCAAAGAATTCATACAGAAAAACAACAGATAAAAAATACACAATTAAGCAATTCAAGCAGAAAAGAAGTTTTCAATGATTTTATGGACGATGATGATTTGCTGGTCCCAACCCAACCATTCGTTCTTAATAATATCAAAAATTTATCTTCGAAGAACTACGTTTCACCAAAATTCGATGAAAAATTTGATTTAATGGAAGATACAGCCGTATTTAAACATCCTGGTTTTAATGAAAAAATTTTTAATAATTCATCAATACGTAAGGTAGCAGTTATGTCTAAGGAAAATAATTTAATAAAATTGGATAAAAATAAGGATAATGTGCTAAATAAAGAGAACACAAACATTAATGAAATTAATACAAAAGTTCAAGTATCGAATATCGACGAGGAAGACGAAGAAATTGCCTGCACCCAAGTTTTTATTCCACCTAACAAACAAAATCAATACACAGGAATTGTGAAAAAGCAATCAGTGATTCCTCCTTTAAACTTGGATAAAAACGAAGATTTGGAATCCACTCAAGCTTTTGTTCATCCAAGTTTACAAAAATCTAGTTTGCCTTCATCAACACTTTCTTCGAATTTGTCCGAAAACACAACAAATAAAAAGCGAAAAGGGAACCTAAACAGCAAAATTGAACAGCCAATACAAAAGAAAAAATTTCCAGCTATTGTAAGTATTTCTACCGAAAATTTTAAAGCTCGTGACAAAGATTCCCCTGTTAGGCCAGTTACAAATGAAGACGCAGATTTTATGATGGATATTTGTACACCGGCAATAGATTTGATAAAATTTGCACCCAAGGAAAATGGCTATATAAAAGTTATGGAGAAAATAAAAAAGCCCATTAATAGAATTTTTGGAGAAGGTAGGATTTTGACATCAAATAAAAAAAAATGTTAGCTAATTTATATAACCATGTATTATAGAAACTGAAGATGAAGACGATGAGCCTCTAATATGTCTAAAAGAAAATAAAGTTAAGGAAAAGGAGGTTAACGGACTTAGAATGGATATAGGAAAAGAAGAAGAGAATGAGGATGAAACAGAATCTGATGAAACTCCAGAGTTTCTACGGCCAATTATATCAGTTGAAGAAATAAAAAAATTAGGGATATCAAATTTTGTTTCGAAAAATAAAAAAAAATTTATAATGGAAGAGACAGACACTTCGTATTCGGCGTTTACTGATTTTGAAGACGACCGAAAAGTGAAGACTAATGAAAAAGAAAAATGTTTTTTAAAAAAGAAATCAAAGAAACTTAACAATAACAAACAAAAACCGGAATCTACTAAACCTAAAGAAACTTCGCAAAAAAGAGGGGAAAAAAAATCAGTTAAATTAAATGTGGAAATGACAAATGTTAAAAATAACAAACGTGTTAAAAAAACGGGAACAAGTTCCGATGAAAACATAATGGTATTTACTTTAGATTTCTTAATTAACCTATTCGAATAATTTTCTTTTCACATTGAAATAGACCAGTTCATCTTCTAAAGCTAAAAGAAAAACTTCTTCAAAGTCTGAGAGCATTAATGACGGTAAATATGTAAACACATTTGTACGAACAAATGCAAAACGTAAATGCATTCGCAAATATTTTCAAAATCTGTTTTTCGAATGTTTTGCAAATTAAAAATTTTCATTACAAAAATTATATGAATAAGTCCGCTGGACAAAAATTTAAAACATTCTTTTTTAGGGGATAGTGAATGGGAAAGTCGATGTTTTACAAGTTCAGAAGCTGGTAGCACATTGACTACTAGAAGTACAAAGGTATTTTTTTCGGGATTCTTGTTTTTTAATGGTCTTAATTTATTTTCTTTCTCTTTTCTATAAAATTAAGAGCAATGCATCTTCAAGAGCATTAAGAAAAAGGAAAACTACGTTAACGTTTACTAAAGTTAATGAAGATGAGTATGTTGAAACTGTGAGAAACATAGGTAAGACCAAAAAAATCATTATCAAAGCGAGAAGAATAAAAGTATAAGTCTCATTAACATTTCATGTGTAAATTAGAAAATTCTAATTTTTTAACATTTTATATAAAATTAAATAAAGTAAATAATAAATTAAAATTAGTTAAACAATAAAAATTAGTAAAATAATTTCATGTATCATAAAAAGAATTAAACACTAAAAAATCTATCAACATTTGAGATAAAATGGTGATATTGATTAAAGAATGAAATTTAAACAAAAATAATCCAATAGATTTGTTACATTATATTACTTTCGGCAGGTTATGCGATTGTTAGCAACCCTGAAGAGGCCTCAATTATAATCACGAATAATGATATTAGTCGAACATCGAAATTTTTGATAGGTTTAGCAAAAGGAATACCAATAATTTCTGTAGATTGGTTAAAGGCAATACAGGAAAAGAATTTTTCTTACGTGCATTATGATAATTATTATGTTAAAGATAAGAAGACGGAAAAAAAGTACAATTTTATTCTCAGACAAACCCTTAATTTAGTGTCAACCGCAAGTCAAAAACTTTTTAATGGCTACAACTTCATAATAACCAAAAATACTAATCCTCCTAAATCCGAAATGGAGAGTAAGTTCTAAAATAAAATAATAAATATATATTTTTATTATAATTTATCAAATAATTTTTAGAAATTATTCGTTGCGCAGGGGGTACAATTATAAATCAAACCAAGGCTTCTAAACTAATCTATGCGGTATCAGATAAAAAAGACTCGAGTTTATGGCCAACGTTAAGATCAAATTATGATAATTTAATAATAATAAAAACCGAGGGAGTTTTACTATCGATAATGCAACATAGAAATCGTTTAGACGACCATAAGTTTTAAAATTATGTTCCCTTACATAAATTAATTATATTGCATTTTTTATAGTGTTTGTAATTTGTACCAGTCCTTTTGTTTTGTTTTTTCAAATCAAGTTAATCAAAAGTTATTTTTCGTTCATTGTGAAAGAATAAATTCTTGTATATTCATTTAATTTTACCTGAATCTTTAATTCAATGAAACTAAAATAAATAATTTTTTATTTTCGTTCGTAAAGTTAATTTTACGAAAATTTTTATTTTATCTAAGTAATTTTTAAACACTATTTGGTAATTATATTTGGACTTTTTCTTTTGCAGGACATCTACATGCATTATTACAGTATTATTTTATGTCCCTAAAAATGCAAATTTGAATATCGTATAGTCAATATCTCTAGCTTAGTTGTTAATTTCTTTTTTGAATTGTAGAACTACAATATTTTTTGAATAAGGTTTTACTTGTCTCAAATATGATTCCTAAAAACAATTTGATCGTTACACAATCAAGACCTCTAATTTTAAAATATAACATATGTACTTTTTTATGTTTTTTCTTTAAATTTAAAGTTGAAAGTATAAATTTTAATAAGAATTATCGGTGCATTGGTGGTAATGCTGGAGTTCCACTACTGTTGCCACTCGTTGGTGTTAAACCCACTGCACCAGGTCCAAGTAAAACTTGTTTCTGTTGCGTTTTTTGCATTTCTTCCGTCTGCGCACGTTCTGTTTCAAATATTACAGGAGCGAAAAGTATCATTGAACTAGTAAAAAATATCCATGATGCATTACAAGAAAAACTATAAGCATTTTTTACAGTAGATGCTGTAAAATTACTAAGTACACCACATATGTTTCTTATTGGTTCAGGGAACATTTCTGTTAATCCCCATAGACGTTCTGCTAATGTCTCATCAGGTTCCTAAAATAATATAAAATCTATATTAAAAACAATGTAAATCATCATATGCTTTTAATTAATTAGAAACTTTATAAATTGTTAATGCTAAAATTGCTATCATTTTGTTTACATTAAAAAGAAATCTCTGCAAGAAAGATATTTTGATAATTCCTCAAAATATCCAATTAAAAATTTTATATCCAAATTTATTTATTTCTTTAAATTTAATTTTCATTTTGCAATTATATTTCTAAAATACATTATTATTGTAATTTTTAAATATCTTTTGCATAACTTTAAGCACAATTTCATTTTTGTTCCATGATCCCCTTTAAGGTTATGTGAAGAATTATTAATTTTTCAATGAAGAGTAACTATTTTTTAAATATAATATTTAAATCAATTCTTACTTACATCATCATAATTTTCATCACTGTCTGAATCTTTCTGTAAATGAAAATGAAATTTTTTGATAAAGCACAAGGTTTTTTTTTTATTTGAAGTTATTAGATAAACTTGTTTGCAAGGTTCTTTATTGATCAAAATATATTTCAGATTTATTATATACATATATGACTTACAATTGCCCGGCGTTCAGGTGTATCATCTTTACTTCCTCCTAATGAAGACATTCCACTATCTTTTTCAATTATTTCAATATCGATATCAGAAATATCCATCGGATTCTTGAATGAATTATCTTTTTCACAGATTGAAGGAAGAATCAGGTTATTAGATTTGCTTTGACAATTATTTGACAGCAGCTAGGCGAAATTGTTTTTGGATTAAAAAAAGTAAATTATAAAATGTTGGTAGGATTGAATTAGCTTATAGGCATTTTGAAAAGAGTTTACGTTTTTAATTTAATCTAAATTATCGAATATTAATTAGATACGGTCAGCACTATATTATGTACATACAAAATATTATGTAGTTCATGTTAATAGCGATACTGATAGCACACCGCACAAGTATAGACAACGTAAAACTTACTTAATTATCGCTTTACTAAGGTGAAAAATAAAACAAAACTTATTATTTTTTACTAGGGTAATTGAGTTATAAAAAATGTAATAGGATCTCGTAAATGGAGAAAACAAACACCATTACATATATTGCATTATGAACAGCTTGGTTCTTTTTGGAAAATAAATATTTTTTAAAATTAAAATTTCACAAACAAATTACAACAATTATACTTACCGTACGCATTTTCATATCACTTTCTTGTCTTTAAAAAATTAGCAAACATAATTTTTGATGTTGAAATAAATGTGAAAATGGCATGATGTTGAGAATCTTATTTTTTCGATACAATAACTTGATAATATTTTCTACCACAAGATGTCGCAAAATTAAATTTTATATTTGTCAATAGATGGCCCTGTAGTTAATATACATACTTTTAGTATAATTTTTTTTTTTTCTCTAACTTACACATATCTATACATATTATGTATAAGTTTACCGTAATTACTATTTGAAAGTAGCTCAAATTTTAATTACTTTGCTAATCACTTACTATACAGGTAGTTAATTCAAATATAGCCAGTTAAGGTATTAAAACACTGCTTTTAAGGTATATGCCTTATAATAATTAAATTTTGTAAATTTTAGTGCAATAAATAAAAGGAAGATATATATGTATATATACAGAAATATTGAAATAATTTAATTTATGTTAAAAAATTTTTCACAACATAATCATCTGGTAAATTAATGATTTCAAAAATGCTTATAAGTATAGTCCAAAATTAGTTGAATTTTCTTAAAGCATTTAATTATATTTTATTTTAAAATTTAAGTACAATCATTATCATTTTAATAAATAAGAATGAAAGAGAAATATTTATATTGAAAACGAGGTACTTATGCAGTTCGAATCAAAGGCAATATTTTAGGCTAAATCTAAGTAGTGGAATCTAAATTCTACTGATCTTAATTCAATCTCGGTTGCCCTTTAAGAACAACACTATATATGTTAACAAATTATGGAAAAAATAATCAGATTTTTTCATATTCTCGTATTATATGCCAGCTTATCTTAAGAAAAATATTATTATAAAATTTTTAACATGCATTTAATAATTTTATATTCAAAAAATTTATTGGCTTTTGCAATTATAGCATATATCATTACAAAATTTGCAATTATAGCATATTTGGAAATGACAGTTTTGTCCTCTTAAAGGAATTTTTAAGATTTTATGACTAATGTACTGCAAAAGTATTATAAATTAGAAGATGATCATTGAATAGAAAAATGTAGAAAGAAATATATAGGTGTGTTTGGAAATAAATTCTGAATAGAATTATTTTATTAATTAAATTATGTGTAATAATTTTTGTATAGACATCTGAATTTTTGAAAAAATTTTTTTATTTCATAAACAAATGCAACAAAATAATAATATTATTATTATATTTTAAATTTTATTAAATTTTATTGATAAATAAGTATATATATATATATATATAATATTAACAACTTATACTAATTAAATTTTTTATTATTTTTTTTTTATTTTTCTTTTTATAATAAATTCTTAAAAATATTTTATTATATGAATATTATAAATTAATTAAATATAACAGTTTAACAAGCAATAAAACTAATGTTTTTTATTTATTTAATTTTCTTTGTAGGTGTGTTGTAAACAAAAAAACGAAATTCATTTTTTTCTTTTATTTGTTTAAATTATTTCTTTCCCTTTATTTACTTGTTATTTATATTAATAATATTTTAAGTAAATTAAGCCAAATTATTAAAGATTAAAAAACAAAAATTTTAAATAACAAACAAAACATAATCAAAATTCAAGTTATTTAAAAAACGAGGAAAAGTTTTAAAGAGGAAAGTTTGCATCTTTGTTAATATTTAATTTTTTTTTACAATTAAAAAAAATATGCTTATATTATGCATATTATTTTATATTTCAAATTTATTTAAATTATAAGTATATAGGTTTGTGATGGCCTATATAAATATTATGCATAATTATACATTTTTCACATACAATGTATGTATAATAGATAATTTTAATTTAATTTACATTTTGTGTGTGCATTTCATCCACATATAATATACATATAAAATATAATATATTTAATATCACTTTATTCTTATTTTTAATACAATTTTATAAATTTGTCTTTGATTTTTTAATTTTGTTTTTAATTTTCAAATCAATAATAATTTATTTTAATATGCCCTGATATTTAAAATTATTTAAATTTATTTAAATTATAATTATATATATATATATTGTTACTATATTTTTGTAATATAATTTACGTCGAACTTTGTATAACAAATTTTTATATAAAGTGATTTAAAATCATTAATTATACATATACATACATATTTAATCATATAAGAAGGGATAAGATAATTTTATGGATAAAATTTTTATAATACAAATATAAAAGGATATTGCTGTTTTTTTGGTGTGTATAATATTTTAATAAAAAAAAAACAAGAACAATAAAAATTATAAAATTTTTGGTGTTCTGCTATATGTTGTCCTTTAATTTTCCTTTTTTTTTACATAATAATTATATATGTAGAGAAGGATGACTAGCTCTTGATACTACTACTTGTTTTTTTTTTTTGTTTTATTGCATTATTTTTAATAATTTATAATAGTAATCTCGCAAATTCTAAAATAAATAAAATTAAATTTGAATTAAATTGTTCACATATAATATCCACTTGAATTACTTGTGTATAAAATATATTTACCTTCATAATTTATTTTTCCATCCTTATCTAAATCTGCTATTGTCAAAAGTTCTGTAACTTGTGCTTCTGTCAAATTTTCACCAATCATTTCCATAGCAGTCTAAAAACAAAAAAAAATTTGAAAATTAATATTTCAAAAAAAATTTTTTAAATTTCAATGATAAATTTATTTATTTTGTTAAAAATGTTCATCTTTTTTGATAAAAAAAACACGCACTTATGCACCTGCATTATTTCAATACCGTATTATTTTCCAGTTCAACTTATATGCCATTTTACATATAATTCACAAATTTTCTATTTTGTGTCTAAATGAGATCAAAATATAATCCGTATTATTTACGGAGTAATATAACAGGAAAATAGCCTCAAAAGAATGCAAGTTTTATAAAGGCCGAATTAGTCAAATAAACATAACATAAAATGTAATTTATATTAAAGTAATTAGAAAAAAAAATTAATTCAGATTGTTACCTGTAACTCGTCTCTAGTTATAAAACCATTTCCATCTCGATCAAATACCCTAAAATAATAATATAATTATTTATTTATTAAAAATTTTATTTAAAAATGTAAATATAAAAGTTTCAATTTGAATGACTAATACGAGTAGAATAATATTGAAATTAATTTTATTCAAAATAAAAGTTGAATTATGTATGTACAAGTTATCCGAAATCAAGCATTTAATTTAAAAATTAAGCCTTAAATTAATTCAAAATTATCACTATATTGTTGTGGTTAGCTATTTAGGCTGAATTTGACACTCAAATTATCCATATAGTTTAATTTACATTTCTTAAAAATTTAGTGTGATCATCTGAATTAATTCCAAAATTGTAGATAAAAATATAAAAACATAATTTGGTTTTTCCTCAAAAATTAATTCCAGATTTAACTAATTGTGTCAAATGTGTATTAATCTTATATTAATATCATTTAAACCGCCTTTCAATTGCAAAAAAAAACCTGGGGATTCGTATGAATTCAAAATCGTACACAAATAAATTTTTGTGTAAGTTCAAAATTAAATTGTTAAATGACGTTATGACTGCTGTAATATAACAATATAACTATATACGTAAACATATTATGTATATGTAAATATGTACACCATCTCAAATATTTTTATAACCTTCTAAAATTTATTATTTTATTCAAAATTTCATAAAAATTTTTGTATTTCATGGTAATTAAAAGAATTTATAAAACAAATACAATTAAGTTGATGAAGGGCTAATATAAATTATAGGTAGATTATAAATTTCATTTATAAGAAATAATTGATTAAAAAAAACAACTGTGCAACTGACACATCAAATATAATTCAAAATTACATACATATGTATGTATATATTGTCATGTAGATATTAATTAATAACCAAAATGATTTACCTAAATGCTGCTACTAAATCTTGTGTTATATCATCGTCAGGATCAGCTTTACTCGTACTTTCTTCTGATTCATCTCGCAAAGCTTGAATTTTACTAACCCATTGTAAAAATTCAGTTTCATCTATAAGACCATTACCTAAAATTATAAATTCATTAAATATTATGAAAGTATAAAAAATATGAGTCTAAATTCTATAAATGAAGAGGCAAACAGTTTTTATCAAATTGTCATATTTGTGGCTTTTTTAAATTAAATTGTCACATTTTTAATGTATTTCATAATAAATCGTCAGGTTTTGAAGAAATTAAGTAAAATGTAAAAAATAATTGAGATTTTAAATTTGATGTGCTCCCTTGACGAGATTAGGAATTTTGACAAATTGAAAATAACAAATTAAACTATAATAAAAACCCAACATGAAGAAGATCTCATTAGGTGTGTTTACACGGCAACTTTTGTATCAATGCTTGACATACGTATAATTCCGCTTGCCAACAAGCTATGCAAACAGCTATTGTGTTTAAAATAGCTCATTTTTCCTTTTTTACTATACAGATTAAGTGAGTATCAGAGTTTTAGAAATTGTACTCAGAATTTTAGGAATAGACCTTTGTAAGTTTTTATTATTATTATATATTATTATTTTTCTCAGTTATTGTTGTTTTGGTTAAAAGGGTATGTATGTTTAACTATACCATATGTAATTTTTTGCAACCACAAATTATAATGTGAGCCTCAATAGGTTTACGAAACAATAAATATAAAGCCTTTTTATATAAGATTTTTAGGTGTAGGTCTGAAATTTGTATAGCAGTACAGTCGACACTATAAAATTTTGAAAAATTTTTGATATTAATTTACTAAAGTGCCTGTTACACATCATATTTAATCTACGATTTAATCTGAATCTGGTGAAAATCTGTTGTGTAATTAACATAAAGTTTGACATCAGATAAAATTTGATAAAAAAAGTGGATACATATCCGATTATCATCACATTTTCTGTGAGATTCTTAAAAATAACATGGCGAAATATAAATTTTTAAAAAAAATTTTCCTCACTGATTTTTTTTTTTTTTATTTTTGTTGCCAGTTTATAAATCACAATTATTAAAAATGTTGCCGTCAAAAGTTTGACCTAAAAGTATGTACATATTAATAGAATCTGACGTGTAAATGCTCATCAAATTTTATCGTAGATTAAATTTTGTCTAATGTGTAACTGGCACCTTAGAAATTCGGCATTGATGAAAAATAGGAATTTTGAAACAAAATTTTGTATTATTGAAATTACAGTAATTTGAAAGATGCACAAATAACTTCATAGAATTTTGCAAGAATTTTTGAATATGAATTTTCAAATGCAAGTCTTTTATAACTTCCATATTTCCTCCAAGTATAAAAGAATAATTTGTTTTTATTTACGAAATTCCAATTTAACTTTAACATTTCCATAAATAAACCATAATTATTTTATGCGTAGATATTTTAGTATTCTTATTATTTAAAAAGTGTTTAATTGCATTGTTCTCGCAATCATTCTTATTTAATAACCACTAAAAATGTAATTTTTTATATCTAATTCTCAATTCCATGCAGGAAATTACAAAACATTATTTTATTATAAGACCTCGCAGTATAGACAATGTTATAGAATTAGTAAGTGTATAAAAAAATGGCAGTTTCTTTCATATCTGAATTAAAAATCTGTTTTTCCATTTTTCTTATTCAAACACAATTTTTTAACATTTCATTGTATTTTTTAAACATGTAAAATCTATCGTATAATTTATAATTTAAAATTCATGTTAAGATGTAATTAAAATTTTCTTAAAATTATTTTTAATATTATAAAAGTTTTGCAATATTTTTTTTAATATGAAAGCAAAATTATTTTAGGTATACCTACATACTAGAAGAAAGATTTACAATAGCAATGTTCGTTCAAAATGTATTAAGGTTTAGTGTTCTTAATGTTATAAAATAAATATAAAAGAAAGGCGCAAAAACTATAAAAGTTAAATTTTTTTTATTATCGTAATTTTATCTGAATTCGCCTTACTTCTTAAAAACAAACTAGATATTTAAATGAAATATAGGCTAGAGTATATCAAAAAGTATTCGAAGTTATTAGCTATTTTATTTCAGTTTTTATAAATAAATAAAAATTTTATTGTATAAGAAGGGTAGGTGCAAATAAATTTATCGATTGTATTTGCAGAGTCGCACCCTTGTGTATAATACATATGTACATAAAAGAATAATCATCACCTGACTTTTCATTTTTTTGCTTTTGGGCTAGATAATGTGCTAAAAAAATAAATCTGTTTGAGAAATTAATTATTTCTCCTTTTTCTTTTATGAATGTTATAAAATTTATATTACATTGTTTACATGTAATCATTTATTATATAGACAAGAAATATTTTCCAATGAATCGCGAGATCATTGTAATTGAATTGAAAAGAAGGTCTTATTAAACTAATATGTAAAGCAGATTATTGCGTAAAACTAAGTGCCGCGTTCATGTTTAAAATATAATAAATATTAATGAATATTTATGGATAGAATAAGTAGAAATCTGACAGTACTGTATTTGACCGATGAAAGATATGGCACGCAAATCACCAGACTATTGTCTATTGCCATTTTAAAAACGAGGTGAGCAAAAGGGTTTGTCCCAAATCACCACCATTGCCACAGTTGGATAAGTTCACATAGCTTCTGTGATGCAGACACATGAGAATCTTCGCAATCGTTCCAACTTCTTCTTAGCCGTACAAAGAGCCACTCTTCTTGCCCATGCTACAGCTTCATAAGTCAGGAGCAGCACAACCATCATGGTATATATTCACAACATGACAGATGGGGAGCAGCCCCACGAACTGCCCGAGATGGCAGCTGCAAACCATAAGCGCCCGGGTTGTTCGTGTACATACAGCTTCCTCATGACTCAGCCAAAGAAGCTTGGAGTCAAATACCACTCACATGTATTTGACCTCCAACTTTCTCTCTACAGCCACCTCTATTGTCTATTGACTGCTAGTTCCTCTAAGAGGAATGAAAAAGACTTTAAGAAATTGCTATCTTGGAGAAGTGGAGTAAATTGAAAAAACCAACGATAGATCGTAGACTGACGTAATACAGTATAGTATTAAAGCTCTTAACTGATTTGACAGAACAAAACAAGTTCACAATAACACTTTCTTACGCAACGAATCGCTTAGATTTTCTTAATGACAAATTACAATATTCGCAATTTACGAAAAATATTTCTAGCTTTTACGAAAAGTATTTAAAAATAAACAAATAAAATCAAAAATTAAATTTTTCAATAGATCACATCTAATTAACTTATTCGGATTTGTTTATTTTTCCCTTGTTGAATTAATTCTATTTTTTTTTTGTTTGAAAAATTAATCCTGAAAATTTTATTCAAATTTAAAAGGCACCGATCATAGTATGAGTAAAGCAACCGACAATAAGAAATGGAAAAACTTTTAAAGTTTTCCACTCAAACCCATTGTTTTATAACCTTAATTAGTACAAACCTTAACCTTATATATAACCCAAAAAATAACTACAAATATTTTTATAAATTCCACCTTTCATTATTGGTAGTACAACCTTTGATTCTTTTTTTACAATTTAATTTACAAAACAAAATTAAAAATCTGTTAATATATAACAAAATATAAAGCATACTTTAAGGATTTTCATTCTATAATATCCTGTTAAAGAATAACAAAAAAACAATAACCAAAATATTAAGTAAAGGTGCTACACAATTGAATTTTTCGTTCAAAATCACATTATTAACCAAAAAAAAAAAGGAAAAATAATTAAAATCAAAATTTAAAAATTGCTCTATAAATTCTATGGTATTTCTTAGGCATGCCGAAGGATCAACTTTGAATTTTTTTCCTTATTAAATTTTTGTGTTGATTTTAAAAGTGGCATAGCAGAATTGGTATTCAATTTATGACATCGCAAAACCAAAATAAAATTTTTAATTTTACTTAAACAAATTTTCTCCTTTTCGAATATCCATTTCAAATACTTGAGGTACATTTCATATTTCTAATTAGAAAAACTGTTAAAAGATGTTTGATTAGCTTTAAAATTGAATAGGTTTGGATTTTTTTTTGGATTTTTCGACATAATAAGACCGGAATTCATGTTTTGTTTATGTGAATTTGTAATTGAATCCAAAAACAATTTTATACTTTAAGTCATTAATTGATAATTACGCTTGAACTCATGAGTGTTACTTTATGAAATCCATAAATGATGCGTTCAATAATAATATGCTTTAAATCTAAGTAATAAATCTCATCTTAATCGATAAGGTTAATGACCTTTTACATAAGTTATTTAAACAGAATGTCTTAATTTTACCGAATTTTCTCACAGTTTTAATTTATAAATTAATCTGATTTAATTTGCTAAGTCATTTTTCAGTTGTATAAGTAACCTTCAGTTCTGCTTACTTAATATTCAATCTATTTCATTTTATCATTAAATTTTTCCAGTAAAATACATTTTAATTTGAAAATTTATGATAAAATATTCCGAAAACGCAAATTAATACAAAAATGAAGAATAAGAAAAAAAATATTTAAATTATTTTACTCCTGCTGTGTAAGTACTTAAGAATAGAAAAGAAAATGGTGATCTAATTGTAAACTTCAAAGGTGCTTCAAGATTTAAGAGAAGGAAAAAAACGAAAAAATTCTTTACTTAACCATTTTGGTTAATGATTCTCTTTAAAACCCACTTAATTGTAATTCAATAAAATTGGAGCGATAAAATTAAGTTCAATTTTATTTTAAGGTGATTTTAATCAAAAATAATTTCTAATTTAATTGTAAATTTTGTTAAAAATAAAGTGGGAGTACATAATATTGACATTTTATTAAAAACTATACTAACCTGATTGACTAGCTTCCTTAATTAAATCATTAATTATTTCATCTTTAACATTAATTCCTAAATTTTTTAACATAAACTGTAATTCATTTGCTGTAACACGTCCATCTTGATTTCTGTCTAACAAATCGAACGCTGTTCGTAAATCTGAAATAATTAAAATAGAAAACGAATTGTAATTAGATTTTAATTTTTAATAAAAAAAATGTAATAAACAAAAGCTTATTTGATATATGTATGTAGCTAGCAAATAAAAATTTAAGATCAGAACGATGTTCGCAGATTGCCTTGAAATATGCAATTTTTTTTCTACATTATTGAATACGATTTTAGCAACCTTTCGAACAAACACTTTAGAGTGTAGTGTCGCTTTAAAGAGTATGTAGCTCGCCCGTTCCATTGAAAAATTCAATAAATAATTGAGATAAGTTTGTTAAATTTTCACATACGATTGGAAGGTGTCAGAACCGTATTTACTTTGGGTGGGATTGAGATAGTGATTCCAATAGATGAATGCAATTTGAACAACAATTTAATCATTTCCCAGAAAATATTCAATCTGAGGTGTTCCTAATTTCATAAAGTAGGTAAATATTAATTTATTTATTTACGGTCGGGTATTTGCAAAGTTCACATAATCAAATTTCTACTACTTTTCGTTTAGCATTTTATGAATTCAAGAAGACCTTTGTTTGTAATATTTCAATAACTTAGGTTAACGGTATTCATAATTATGCAAAAATTGTTTGTATTTTCACATGAAATTTAAAAAAAATTGTAAAATAAATAGTGAAATAACTTGAGAAATTGAAACGCATTTAATTAAACCATCGCTCGCAAATTCCCACATAGATTTTTGTTTATATTAAGCTTTTGTGATTTTTTCAAATGTTCTCGCATTTAACAATGTAACACAAAAAAAATTACTATTGTTAAAACCGGTGACATTTAAAAAAACATTTTTATTAGAAATGTAAATTTGCAGAAAAAAAAACAAAAACAGAAAAACACCACAAAAGAAAATAAACAAAGATTTTAACTCTTATCATTTTGTACAGTCATTACAATGACCTTGACAGCATATACATATACCCTGACATCTTGTGAATTTTAAATGAATATCTTTTATCGGTGTTGATATCATGACATTTACAGTTCATACCTATACACCCATCCTTCTTCATGAATATCTTCTACAAATACACATTTACACACTATTTCTTGTGAAATGAAATTATTTCATAAGAAAGTGTGATGAACCGAACAAATCAACATTTTTTCTCTTTTTTTTTTTTTATAAAAAAACGTCAAGGATATTTTTTATACAATGATGTTTACTAAGTGTTATACTAGAAAAAGATTAAAATTATATTATGTTTTTTCTTTTTTTCCATTTTTTTCTATTTTTCTTTTCTTTTAATTTCCAAAGAGCTACTAATTTTGTTTTCGATTAGGTTAGATTGAATACAACAAAATTTTTTTTTGTTATATGTATAACATTAATCAAATTGAACGCAATTTTATTAAGAATTAACAATACAACGACCTTAGAAATTTTATAAGAATTTTATATAAAGAAATAATAGAATTAATTATTTTAGACAAACTTTAATGACAAATTGAAATTATGCGTCCTTTTTTAAACAAAATGAGCAGCTGGAAATAATCAAGTTATTTAAAAAAAAAATGGAAAAATTTGCGTTTTAAGAATTTCCTCTCAACATTCTTATAAAACGTGTTACTGATGACATCTACTGGCTTTTATTATAAGTAAGGTAGGCAATTATGCACTAAGAGATCCTAAGATCGCAACGCGATAGAATAAAATCTTGAGTAAGGTTCAAAGTGTTAGGATCAGAGTGCTCAATCTTCTAGATTTATCTCTTAGATTTATAGGGTCTTATCTTACTTTTTAAAGTGTTATTCATTTCTGTTTATGATTCTTTTCTTAATAATTTATTCTTAATAAATTTGGAAAAAATGGAATATCAATAGATGCTCTTATATTTTTTGTAGTAATTTTTTCTTAAATAATAATGTGTAAAAGAAAAAAATAATATCAATGACATAAAGAAGCACAAAATGAAAAATCAGACATCTTAATCAAATAATAGATAATATTATTAAAAAAAAATGATGAGTTTTATAGAAAAAAAATCCCACAAAATATTAAGGATAATGTGTTGAAAAATGCACATAATATTATAATCCCTTGTGGTAAGAATATGCAGTGACGGATTTTCCTATATACTGAACATATTGTAGCCTTAGTGTTTGTTATGAAATTTATGTAGATCGATCTAAGAAATTTAATGTATCGTAACTAAATTGCTATTGTTTTTATTACAAATTTTAAAAATGTTGAAGTATTACCAAAGAAGAAAGCAAAACTATCTGCCAGTTAATTGACTATTTTCCATCCTAATAAATAAGTTTTTAATTTATGCTCACAAGACCGATTAATTTTTTTTTGTTAGCATGAGACATTACAGGATTATAATTAACCTCAGGCTACTGATATTATAAATCCGGCCCTGAGCTTATGTAATGCATACCAAATAGAAAACAAAATAAAAATTCCTCCTTATACGTGTATTAAAAATTGTCTGTGGTATTACTTTTTATTTCGTACAATGCCACGTGATTGAATTTTTCTAAATTCTTATACAATAATCATACCATATACAAGTATAAAGTGGCTTTGTATGTGGCTTAATAGGTAAATATATACATTCGTGTAGAAAATTTTATAGCAATTCAAACATACTTATTTAAAAAAAGAAAACATGAAATTATTTTGTTATTTACGCGAAAAAATTACTTAAACGAATGAAATTGAATTCGACTGCATGATTGTTGACAGAAAAGTAAAACTTTTAAAAAATAAAAAAAACACGCACGCATTTACAAACCATTTCAAATAATAAAATAGAAAAAAATGAACGATTTTTTTCTAATAAAACTTTATTATATCTTTAATTGCAGTTTTTATAGAGTAGGCGGCTTGTCTACAAATAAATTTTTGTAAAATGGAATCGAATTTGAAAGGATTATGGCTTATGATAAATTATGCTGATATTATATTGGAAAATTCAAAGTAGTACAAATTGTAATATTCAACAGATATCGAGATGTACTTCCAAGACAAAGTATAGATTTTAAGTTTGCCATCGTAGCTCTACAAGTGCCACCATTTTTTATTCCGTGGGCTATAATATGGATTGCATTCTGAGTTTGTTTTTCCTTACTTAAAACGTACCAGGTAATTTGTTCAATCCTGCAAGATATAATATCTTCGACCATATCTCTTTTGTTTCCTTTCTTAGTAATTCGCAAATATTTCAATTCCATGGTAAGATTTCGGAGAGATGGAGCATCCGAAATGTTTTCTAATTTCAATTTTCAGCCTGTTATTTCATTAGTATTGTTATATTTGAATTATATTCGAACATGAAAATTTCTTCCAAGTATAGTAAAATAGAAATTATGAATCACAATTAATAATTGGTTGCAAAATTCTATAATCGTTCAAATAAATTAATTTTTTAAAAGCAAATACTGTGAACATTAAAGTTAAATAAATCTTTAAAATTTCATAATTTTTATATAAATTTTATTTTTCATCAAAACTAATATTTTATATTTTTATTATTCTCTAACTTGGCAAATATTTTTTCAAACATTTATTATTTTAAATATCACTTATAATTTATTAAAAATTATGAAACTATTTTCAAATATAAGATGATGCAGAAAATATTTTTTCTTTTTTAAATGAAAAATAAAACAAGAAAAGAACAAAAGTTATATAAGAAAGATTTAAAATTATAAAAATATTTACGGAAATTTATTTTAGTAATTAAAATGTGAAATTTTAATTTTCGAAATCAAAATATTTTTGTTTTTATTCTTTTTTTAATAAGTTCTCAATCAAGCGTTTTTATTCACTATTTTGTTGTGTCACTAAGTGTCATAAGCGATTTTTTCAACGAAAAAGTACTGGAAAAATGTAGCGTAGAGAGAACTGTCAAATAAAAAAAATGGGTATGGTGGTGTCATGAAATTAACGAAATTATTCCAATTATCAATTAAATAAAGTTAAATATAATATTTTTGTAATATTGTGAAGGTCATAGATTAATGATTTTAAAATTCCCTAATCAAAAAGCATGACTGCGAAATTCAAATAGAAATCGGTGTCTAAGATTTGACAAAACAAAAAATAACATATACCAAGATACGGAATATGTCGAAGAATCGATGTCAGAATTGAATTTTTAATTCAAAAATGAAAATTTCGAAATTTTTTTATTGCTGATGGACTCGAAATCAAAAATATAATATCTCGAAATAAAGAAAAAATTCTATAAAAAGACTTGAAAGTGTCTCTTGGCTCGGTTGAGTGAAACGAATTTGTAATTTAAGAATAATGGGTGTCATTGTCGACATTGTAAAATTTTTAGGCTGGTTTAACTACCTCGCTTCAAAAACACATTTTTAATGATAAAATTTTAGTTTTTTAATAATTTGTGCCAAACCTTAAAAAAATTATTTAAATGAATTGGAAAATTGGAAAAGAAACAGAATAGAATTTTTTTTCTTTCCTTCATTTCATAAAACGTTTACACTAGAATAAAAAACGTTTTTTTTTCCATTGTTCACTGTCAATGTCTAGTTCAATTTCAATCGCTTATCATTTACAAAAAAATTAAAAATTAAAAAACTTATTTACAAACTTTCATACTATTATTTAAAAAACAAAAAAAACAAAATAACAAAACCAATAACAGAAAAAAGAAAATTATGAAAAATGAAAATTTTTTTCTCTTTTTGAATTTTTTTTTCTTCTTGAAGATTTTTCAAACGGCGCACGTTTTTCCTATCATAATTTCAATGACTTTAATTTAAAAATCAAAATTTTGCAAAATAAAACAAAAACAAAATACGAAATTAGAAAATGAAAACAAAAACTTATGATGAAAATTCAATTGTGATGGCCGTTTCAAAAATTGAAATTATTTTTAAAAAACACAACACGTAATATCGGAAAGAAATCCAAAGAAACGAAATAAAAATATTATAAAAGGTGGGTGGATTGAGGTAGTTAAGTTATTTTTTTTTTCTTCTTCTAAATTTAATTTATTTATTTTAGAAACTTGTACAGTGTGATTCACTGTGAGAATGTTTCATGTGTAATATAATAACGTTTCTAATGAGTTGTCGCGTGGTCAAAAAGAGTTTTTTTTACAAAATTATACTTTAATTATCAATTTATCAATTAGCCTTGGAATGGCATTCAACACAACATGTTGCAGCTGCCGGAAAATGGACAAGAAGAAACCATTTTTCACTATATCTGTGAGTGTCCGGTCCTGGGCGAAGTAAATAGGTTCCTCATTTGTCCTAATTGGGGTGCGGTGAAGTATTAATCAAGATTGTATTTTAGAAACCATTGGTGTGACCCACAATACTCAAGTGACACACAATTAACTGACATTTCTTTCTGAACAAAATTTAGACCTAATTGTATAATTCGTTATTATCGCCATTTTTATTTTTAAAAATAATTTAAGTAAATTTCGAAAGATACTCTAGAAAATAATACTCGAGTCTAACTCCAATTATTTAATAACAAGACCAGTTATTCAAAAAAAAAACAGATGGCATAAATCATAAAACTCATAAAATCGTTCATTTGTACGATTTTCAGTTAATTGACACGGTCAACTTGACACGGTAATCTACTTTGTTGCATCTTAAAATAAAATGTGCTAGATTTAATCAACTGTAAATATTTTTGTTTACATTTTTTGTGTGTCAAGATCGTCATTGTTTACGTTTATTATTAAACAATAATTGTAGTGAAAAAAAAACACCCCACTTAACGAATTAATTTTGACCTATTATAAAAATAATTGATAATTTCGTTGATTAATGAGTAATTATTCAATTTAAAATCGTGTGAAGTGCAATTATGTGTAATATTAATAATTATTTAACTAATTTCGACTTAAAATTATTTAGCCATATTTTTTTTTTTGTAAAATGATTTGAAAGTTCTACTAAATTCTAACGTGTTAATATATATACAAGGTTATTCAGTAAAGAGTATAATATTATATAACATTTTTAGGGCATTAAAAATGGGTAAAAATGTTTGTTTAGAACTAGTCATCAAATCTAAACGAGCTTCCGAGATATAAGAATTTTAACGAATTTTCACTAAATTTTTACATGCTCAGGCTTTTTTGCTTATATCTTCATTCGGAAAAATATAGGAGCTTCAAATGAACTATTTCTGAAAGAGCTAGTAAAGGATTTGAAAGTAACTTTATAATTTCATGTTGTACTTTATGTACATTTAGAATACCAAGTATTCGAACTTCAGAAAAAAAATTTTTTTTCTAAAATCTTATGATACAGGAGATATAGCACAAAAATCATTTCCATATTAGAATTTTAAGGCCCTAATAAAATGTTAAAGATCCAAAGTTAGCCCCTATTTTTGATTTTAAGTGCTATAATTACCAACTATTATTATTTAGTAAAAATAGATTATTAACACTAGTCACTCTAAAAAGCAGTTCTATTATACTCTTTACTGAATAACTCTTATTATATAAAATTTCTATGTTGATGAAGAAACCTTTTTAAAATGTAAATGCTGTCTCTAATTAGGAGCAAACTAATATTAATTTGCCTATGATTTTGAAAACTATATTATTGGTATGTAAAATTCACATTTACTTAAAAACCGAAAATATATACATATACAAATAAACGTAAATATATCCCAAGCCTTTTGACCTATCTCGAGATTAATATTTGAATACCTAGAGAAAATTTTAACACTTGTATTTTCATTCAATAAATCCACTATACAAAAATGAGCACATATTCCACATATTATAATTTATCACTATTTTAATTAATAATTAATTTAAATATTTCTATGTCTAAGTTTTTATAAATACAACTAAATTTAGAATAATTATAATTTATATGAAAGCTTTTTATTTTAGAATTTATTATACTGCAGATTCGTTTTAAAATGAAATTTTAATTAGGCATAATATTTGGATTTTTTTCTATTATTCTTTTTAGCATTAATCATTTTAAGACTTCAAGTTAACCAATATTGTATATTTATGTATAACAGAAGCATTTATATTATAAAGTGAATATTTTTATTTAAAATCTAATTTAAATTATTTTTTTTTTAATTTGAATATGATCCAAATCTTTTATAATATAGTATATAAGTTTAAAATGAATCTTATTGTAATTTTTGTTATCTTATTGTACAATAATTAAATCTTATTGTACAATATTTTCTTAAATACGTTTTTTCTGGTTATAAAATACACGTGTAATTCAAATTTTTCAATATCTTTTGAGATCACATTTGAAAAAATGACAAGTTTCAGAGCAATACAATTAAATTTGGGCATCATGAAAGTCATATTTTCGAACTCTTATTAAAAATTTCTATAAAATTTAATTTTAAAGAAAGCGTCATAAAGAAAAATGAATTTGTCAAATTTTACGTTCTTAGCTCATTTAATATTGTATTACATTTTTAATAATATACTTATAGATCTAAAATATCAAGTTACCAAAAGACCTTTCGTATTTCTATAGAATTTTTCTGTAATCAGAAATGCCACTTTTGAAAACTCTTAACATAAACCTCATAATGGCAATCGCAAAATTAATTTCATAAATATCGTATGAAAATTGTTTGACAAATGACTTTTTCATTTAGGGGTTTGTTTTCGATATGTTTGACTTTAATTTAAGATTATAACCAATATCGCTAAAACACTCTGTTAAGAACATTGTTGTTCATTTTAATCGCAAATAATAATAATAAAATTTTATACTACTCGTATTTAGTTTAACTTTTATAAGCATACAAAATAATCAAAAATTTTAAATTTATTTTGAATATTAAAAAAAATAAATAATTGAAATTATTTTCTCACCTCGGTATTCCCGGTTAATAAAATTCCTACTCATTTTATCTTATTTAATTTTTAAATAATTTTTAAAAACAATTAGAATTTTCTTTGTTTTCTATATCTTTTTAGTATTTTTTTGTTAAATTTAGTGCATTTTCTTTCATAAATTTAATTCACATTATCAAAATTAATTTTTAAGTTTTTAATTCACTTATGAGATAAACTCGTTCTATCTAAGCCTTCAAACAATTTAAATGTTATGTAAAATCAAAAAAAAAATAGTTTTATAATTTTTAATAATATTTTTTATTTTCTCGTTTAGTTTCTATTTTATGTTTTTTAATATGAAAATTTCTTTTATTAAAAAAATTTTTCCTTTAGAATTTTAATTTTGTATTTTTTTTTTTGTTATGTGAGCTTATGTCACGCACCTTTAATTATTTGTACTCTTGTTCTTTTTTCCCAATTTTCTTATTTAACAAAAAATTTTACTACTTTTTTTATTAATAAACTTGAATTAGTGCATATTAATTAATAATTTCAGTATAATTTAACTGTAAATGAATAAATTAATATTAATTATTTTATTATAAATAATTTGTAAGCGTAGTTAAATAAATTAACATGTTTTGTTTCGGTAAATTAATTTTGATTCGCCTAAATATTTTATTCAACTCACTCCAATATTCTCGCACTCCAATAAAGCGTATATTCCCAATTATAGGGCTTATAAACGCTTTTATATAGAGTAAACAAATTTGTGAATCATAAAAAATAATTGAACTTATGTTTTAATCTATAAAGGTATGCCATGGTTGTAATAGTATGTTATGTATGTAGAACCAATCTCTAAACATAATAATGATATCAGTCCAGAGATAATAATTTTTGATTTTAAATCAAAAGCTTCCTAATATTCCAAAGTTGTGAAGCAAAAATTTAACATGAATTCAAAATATGAGTAATTTTTTTTGTTAATTCCAATTGTGTGAAGTCACTCAAAAGACAATATAGAATAAAAAAACTGTTTGGAATTTTACAAAATTTTTCACTTCTTTTTTCACCAAATAGCTGCTTCTTGGAAGAGTACCATTTATAAAAAATAGAACTTCCTAAATTAAAAACGAAATTACAGAATGGTAGGAGATAAATATCAAATTTCATATACGTCTGTATGTTATTATTGGTTCTGATTTTTTCTCCAATTATTTTCAATTATAAATATTTATTGTATAATATAGTAAATAGTCAAACTATGCGGCATTAAAATTTTTGATAGAAATTTGAGAAAAATCTTCTTCCTACGCACACCTTGTTACAAATTTAATACTGCAAAAAATTCAATAACAAATCTGAAAGAAAATTAGTCATTGCATTTAAAGAAATGAGACGAAATCAGCAATATTTAATTTCGGCACAATATGTGATTTTTTGACAAGCATTTTTTTGTTGTTTGTAAATGTTCAACTCTATATATTTTAATGTAAGAATCCATTTAACAGAATTTTCTGTAAAATTTATTTGTATATTTGGTAAAATAAAATAGGGTAAAATAAATCGATTTTCTTGGGTAATCACAAAAAAAATTAAGGTTATTGGAACTTTTTTTATTCTTATTGAGAACAAAGAAATATTAAAGAAATAAATTGAGATATTTTCGACATTTTGGTAGCGATGCATATAGAAATATTTCCATTTTCTTTTACATACAGAGTCGGGTCCTTGTATTCCTTCTCACATGGAGCCTTAGGATGCTTTGGGATCTCCATTCTCATATACACGATCGTTATACCTATAGACACTCTTGATAAAATCGCAGTTTCCAGCTACTTCAAGCGGAAAGTTCACCGGAGAAAAACAAAGCTTCCACTAAACCATTTTGATTTTCACTATTTCGTATTCACACAGTATAGACGCTCCACTGTTTTGCGTGGAAAATTGGTGTGCGACAAAGTTTAAGAAATATTTCAGAAGTTGGGTCTTAAATGTAAATTTTTATTAAAATTGGCTAAGGCCAAAATGAGACACATGAGTTTACAAACGGACACGCAGAAAAATACATCTACACATCTTTCTAAAGGCAGTTTTTTGCGGTTTCTCTATCCCGAACAAATTTACAACAGCTCAACATGCCAAAATTGACGTCTTCCTTTCAAGAAATTTCATTTTGCATGAAGTTTAATTTTTTTTCTAACACATTCAAAACTGATTTACAATGAATCTATGTACGTACGTATGTTAAATATGTAAGTTTGTATGTAAAAAACAAAAGAATTTTTCATTTATAAGATTTCAATTTAAAATATTTTTATATTTTCGAATTTATTTTCTCGAATAGCCACTAATCTCTATAAATTAATGGATTAAATTAAAATAATTTATTAGAAAATGTAGAATAATTACATGAAAAACTCAACTTATTTTATTTTATGTACAATTTTATTACGAATTATGTGTTATGCACCTATTAAAATAAAAAAATGCATAATGTACAAAAGATTAAATAAGAAAATCAATACGGTTGTTTATTTATTTTTAACTATACATGCGTATATATACACATTATTATACATATAAATATGCACGTGCAGGCCAATAATTGTAAATCGTGACTTGTAATATTTTGAATTAAAATTCATTCAATTTCTAAATTACATACTATCCGTACGCGGAAGTAATTTAATGGTATACTATCATTAGCCCTTATATTTTTAATACTTTAATGTATTTATTTTTTAACAGTTTTCTTACAATACATACAATTTCAAAGAAATAAAAATATTAATAAAAATAATATAATTACGAGTATATTGGCAATGGGAAACCAAAGAAATATGGTGTGGTCACAAGATGATATACTGCGTATATATAATAATTTCAAAATAATGTTTAAATTTGTATGTTCTGCTTACTACGACAGTCTGGTAAAAATTTGAAAGGCTAAAGAAATTGACGTTTTGCGCCAAAGTCTGATATGATGATGCTCAAATCCTTGTAATTATGAAAATTTCCATCAATAATGTTAAATGCATTTTTTGCGAAAATTTCCAAGAGCTTATTAATTCATCGAATTTACAAAGGAAATTTAAACATAAATCGGTTTTGCACTTGGTTCTTTAAACTGGAAACAGACAAGCAAAAATTAACATTTCACTAAAAAAACTGTTTCATTGCATTTCTCTACTACAGCAAATTGCTTATCTATTGAAAACTCAAAATGTAAAATTTGGCACAATTCCAATACCGCCCTTACTGTATATAACGCGGTTGGAAAAACTGATAAAAATTTATATCTATAAACAATCATACATATGTATGACCATATACTTGTAAAATAATATTTTATGATTTATACAAGCTCACACTTAATAGTGGTAAATAACATCATAATGTACAAACCATAAAATATTCAAACACACACGTACATACATGTTTGTATGTCATGCACATAATATACTACATACATATATTACTTTCATGTACATGTATACATATTTATATATTTTTATATTTATGAATAGATTTTTAATATTTTTCTTAAGATAAAGCGCGAAAACCTTGCAAACCATGGTAGAATAACATGCGAACCTTATGACACGAGCTGCGTGCTTAATGGATTTTTCTTTGTTTTCAATTTTTTTCGCCTTTTTTTTTTTTTGTTTTTTATATTATTTTATTTCTTAAAAATGTCGGTCATGGTTGATGATATCCTTAACACATATTATTTTATAAAATATGAAAAAGGCTGGTTAAAAAAAGGGATGAGAAAAACTTGAAACAGTTTTTTTTAATTTTGATTAAAAAAAAAATTAAATTTTCTGATAAGATATTAAAAAATTAATTTAATATAAACACAATTAATAAAAAAAAATAATAATAAGAAAAATATTTTAAAAAGCTTTCAGAAGAATAGGTTTTATTAGGTTTGCTATACAAAAGGTTAAATATTCATGAACTTTCAAGAAAATGGGAGGAGCAATGTAATTGAGCGCATTGTATTTGTTTTTTATACAGTAGAATAAATAAATTAAATTTAAAATTATTCCATTGTACAGCAATATAAAAATAAATAAAGAAATTTTTTGAAATTATTAATTTTTTTATGTTTGCTTTTGAACAATTGAAATATTAAATATAAAAGAAATACAGTAAAAAACTTAGGTAATAGGATAATAACGCAATTGGCACGTTCAAGTTATTAAATTAAGAGAGAGAAAGTTGTAAAATTCGAAATTTTTATGAATAACAAATGAAATAAAATCCGGTAGGGACCCGAGGTGATCTTAAAGTTTTTCTTTTTTTGTTTAACAACTTGTTGCGTGAATTTATTTGTCAAAGATAAATCCTTAGAAGAACAATTTGTTAAAAAAACAAAAACTTTATAGAGCCATTGTAAATTGAAAATTGTTAACTACTGAAGATCTGTCAGTCATGACTTATTGCAGTTCTCCCATATGCTACTTCCAAGTAATTACCCCGTCCAAGTAATTACCTTAAGATATCCTTCAGAGCGGGATGTAGAGCTATAAGACCCATTCGTTCATAAGACATAACTGAAATTGGATCGATTTGGATCCCATATACATTTCAGATTATTACATATACAAATCTTTCCTAGCGATTTTTCTTCTCGAACTAGACTCGAAAGAGTGACCGACCGCTTTCTAGACGGACACTCTACAAACTGAGCTACAATCAAAAAAAAAATTATCCGCAGCCAAATAGTTTTTCACATTGTTTTACTACTGTAATTATCATGAGTACGCATACTGTATTGTTTAGATACGATTTATTCGATACTATTCGATTGGAAACACAATCAAAATTATATTTGTTTATATATGTTTATATGATTTAATATTAAACCATCAAAACATGTACCTATATTCGTGTAGTTAATGCTACAACTAGATAACTCGAAAATTTTATATTTTTAGATAATTAACATAGGCGTCATAAAATCGAATGCTCTTTTATCTGCGACCAGTATCGAAGTTTAAAAGTGTTCTTAAATATTTGAAAAAGATAGTGCCAAAACTAGATATTTTCATGATAAATTATTTGTTATTGCAAAATTTTTTATCTTTGAAAGTCTCTAATCGAACAATTGCGAGTTATCTAGTTGTAGCATTAACCTCACTATATGACTATGAAAATATGCAATTTATATGAATTTGTTTTCTAGTTTGACATCAATTTAGACTATAATCAATTTGCCAAAATCAATGTACCCTGTAGTATATAAAATAAATATTTAAAAAAATCGGACACATACATTCAAACACACATATTTTAAAAAAGTTTTAAATCTAATAAAAATTTTCCAACCAAAAAAAAAAAACTCAATTAATAAAATTAATATGTCAAAAGCAGAGCAAAAATTCTTGTTAATTATTTAACACTTCAACATACATACATACATACATTCGTACATAATTTTCAATATATTAATATGTAGATTATTTTTTTCTTCAAAAATTCCTGTACAACAGTATAGTCATCACATATGTAGTGTATCTTACAAACCATAAACACATGTACATATTGACCCCATTTGGACCATCTACATACATATATATCTGAATTGTATAACATTAAAAAATTCCAAAAATTTGTTTTTGTATGGTCAATATTGTTGTCTTATTCAGAAATTAAATTCACATATGAACATCAATATGTTTGTTATACAACAATACAGCAGGACATATTTTTTTTGATATCATGTTTGTACAATATCCAACATGATATGAAATATTTCAAAGATCATAAAAAAATAATCTTTCATTTAATTACGTTCAATTTTTTTTCCTTTTTTTTGTTATATGAATTGCATGAAATATGTGAAATATTTTCGGAAAATATTCGAATAATTCTTAAGCAATTATTATTCAACTAGTTCGAAAAATAAGAAAAAAGAAAACAAAATATTGTTAGAAATCAAAATCATTTCGTTCTCTTTTGCTTTCTTGCGCCCAAATTACGTATCCTTCAGACAAATGACCTTTATAATTTTATATGTATATATATATATTAATTAAAACTTTCATTTCATGATTTTTTTTGTATTTTTCTTCTTTTTATTTTATCAAGTACGCAATTTATATTTTGAAAAAAGCATATAGTAAAAAAAAAAAAATGAAAAATTCGCACATAACTATCAACATTCTTTCGGAACCAAAATGAAGAAAAAAAAAAAAAATTCTTTTCATTTTAATTCTCTTTCTCTCTTTCTCATCTCATCTATATTTATTTTTCTACAACTCTCTCTCTCTCTACCGCTTTTCCTTCCTTTTTGGTTCCTTTTTAATTTCTTTTAAACACGAGTTCATGACTATTAAGGTCCTTGAAAATAAAATATGTTGTTTGTATTTTTTCTTATTTTTTTTTTATTCTTTTTCGGTTTTCATTCTTTTTGTTTTATTTCTTTTATACTATTATACAATAGTAGATTAGAAGTGTACTGAGGCATAATAGTTTAGATATGTTTTTTTATTTTTTACATAAATTGTATAATTATATATAGGAATTATATATTAGGTTTATTGTGCTATAGATTTATAATCGCAATATATATACAAAACTTATATATGTATGTATATAAAATGAATTTAATCTTATAGTACAATATAATATGTGGGTTTGTTTGTATATATAATAAGAACAATATTATGGGAATAATCCATGTCTTTATATACAAAAATATTATTTGTTTTGAATAAAAGCGGAAAAAAAATATCATAGGAAATGATTACATAGCTATATTCCTTATTCTTTTGTTTGTTTGCTTTTTTTTTTTAATTCTCTTTAAAAAGGAATTTTTAAAGGCAAAATTATTGCAAACTTATAGGCGCAACACAATATAGTAAATAATGATAATTTTATTCTTCTTTCATACATAAGGTTTTAAATTGTGAAAAGACGCAAATACCATATCATGGAGGATTGGGGCATAGATCAATCAAATTCAAATATCATAAATTTATAAAATTTTTGTTATAGTATAAAATATTTGAATTTGAAATTAAAATAATCATTGAATTTCTAAAATCAATTATTATTCTTTAATACCACCATACTAACACACTTATACAAACATATTAATAGTATAATAATTATATGACAACAAATGTATTATTATTTCAATGAAAATTTTCATATGGTTCACTAATTATGAGATAAAATTACAAAAATAAAAAAGAACTAAAAATTCACCATATACAATGAAAGCAAAACACATGAAATTCAACACATAAAATGTTATACGCGTATGAAGAGATTTGTCAACAGATTGTTATTGTGTTCTCAATTAAAAAAAGAAAATATTAATAAAATGCATTCTCAATTATAATATTAATCTCTCTTCTTTCATTTCTATCTCTTCACTATAAATATAAAATTTAACCGTTATGATGTCAAAAATTTAATTTGTTACACAATTTTTTTTTCTGTTAAACAATCTAAGGAGAAAAAATATAATTTTTTCTTTTTTTTGTGCCATTGAAATTTTCGATTTTTTTGTCAAAAATATTTTTCTTCTATCAATAATTTTCGTTTATCCTTGACAAAAAAAGAAGGATATTTTTTTGTAAAGGATTGTAATGAATTTTGTTTTGAATATTTTTTTAGAAAAAGTTCAAGAGAAAAGTTGTGGATTTTAGATTGTGAGACTATATATTAAGTTGATTTTTTAATTTTCTACTAAGCCTTTAAATTTTAAAGTTGAATCAAATAGTTATACAATAAATTAATTTAATATGTTCATTCTATTCTACTAAATACCAACTTAAGGTAAAGAATACTGAAAAAATTTTCAATATAGCAATGTAACGAGTTCAATTTTAAATCTAACGTAATTGTGCTGAAGGTCTAATTTTAAGACCTAACCTGAAGTTTATTAAGGAACTTTTAGCAAAAATAATCGCTTTTAAATTTTTGGACCTTTTTATTACCAAATTTATATTAAATTCACTTGAACTGCTAATTGTATGAAAATTTACACCGCAATATAAAAACTTTATCTCTGATTGTTTGGTGGAACAAATTATATATTGCTATTTGTATAAGACTTAATGATGAAATGATGAAATATTATTAATTTAATGTCTTCTTTTACAAATTCTTTATACATATAACAATTACATAATTCAATTCAAATTTTATTCAATAAACAAATATTTTGACACAAAAAATTTTTTGCAAATTTTATTCAAACAATTTCATAAAAGATTTAAATAATCTATGCGATATAAATACGATATAAACATACTAATTATTTGGATACAAAATAATAATAAAAAAAATTCAAGTTCTCATTCAAATTCTATGTGAACAATAATAGGAATATTATCGAATGTCCTATATAATGGAGAAGAACTTAATCAATCAGTTGATTATAAATAATTGATTAACATAACAATAGTGACACACATACATATACAGATACAACACAAATATATAAAATATTGTAAGGCAAATTAACTATTTTGTTAAATTTGATTAATTATCTTAAGGACGATAACAAAATTAAATTCATTTAAGGAAAATAAAAACCGTATTTAAAAATTTTCGATAAAAAGCGTTCCACCTTTTGCGTTTATTTCATTTTATATATATAAAAAAAAGAAATAAACATTTTTAAAATTAGGTACGGTTTAATTTTCAAAAAGCTGAGATATAATTTTATTTTTTTCTTTTTTTATTTATTTATTTTCGGTTATAGAAATACCAACAACTCATTAAGAGTCGCATGATCTCACGCAAAAATTTTTATATATTTTAATCTTTTTATTTTATTATGCTTGTTTGTTTGTTTTTATTTTTATTATTATTATTATTGCTACTGTTATTTTTTATTATTATTGTTATTATTATTAACTTTATTATTTCATTTTTTTTTTGTTGTCGTTTACCCACATATGAATTGTTCAATGGTTAAAGAAAAACTGAAAATTTTCGATTATGATTCTTCACAATTTTCTATTATAAAACAATATGAAACGGTGTAAGTGTAATACCATAGAAATTATACAATTGCGATTATTTTGTTCTAAGTTGGGCAATAGTATAACAGTGACTGTCTGATTGAATGAAATAAAAACAACTGGACTACTACTGTTTTCGTATTAGTTATGTTGCTTTTTTTTCTTCTGTCTACCCGTTTATGTAATTTTGTTATTGCAAATGTTTTTCTCATTTTTCTTCTTTTCATTTTTTCTTTCGTCTATTTTTCTTGTTATTTCTTCTATATTCCATGTGCTTATTTATGTTTGTTTTTGTTGTCTTTTCATTTTTATTTTCTTATTTTTTTCCTCCTTTCCTACTTTTATATTTCTATTACAAATTTATATTTGTTGTTCTTGTTTTTTCTTTTTGTTTGTCTTTTCGTTTGCATAATTTTTTTTCTTTGTTAATTTTGATTGTCTGTATGTATGTATGCACGTATATTTTTTGTATTGCCAATATTTTTCTTTTTAAATTCATAAACGCATTTATTTGAGGTAGGATACTATATAATAAAAATATTGGTGAATCAGTGTGATTACTATATTTTGATAACATTAGTAAGGAGCTTAGAATTTGTAATTTCTTAAAAACTTCTAATTTTTTTTTTTTTGCAATTTAAAAGAATATTATAGATAATCAGAAAATATCTGATATATTTTCGAATAATTGGGACATATTAAAATGATAATCCAGATTAAATGGTTGAGCACCATTATACTAATAGAGAAAATTGCTGATGTATTTGGATTTGAGTTGAAAATTAAAAAGCTATGAGGTTCATTTCACTTTCGTTATAAGAAATTGTCTTTATGAAGAAATTTGAATATTTCTTTACAAATGTATAGTTATAAGCAACAACACTACATGTAAGTAGAGTTTGGAAACAAGATTTTAGTTTTATTTCAAATTCGAATCTTCTCTAAGACGAGAGTAATCCACGTAGCAAATGAGGCAATGTTAAGAATATAGCGGTTCGCCAAAAAAATTTTTTTTACATTAAATAAACATAACTATACAAATTAAAATCTAAAAAAAAAATTTATTCAAAAAAAGAAAAAAATTGCATACTTTCAGGTACTATCTAAACTTTTCAGATACTGCTTTGCTTAAACTTTCACATAGCACGCGATTTTTCTATCTCTATTTGAATATTGAAATATTTTGTTTCCACCTATAAATTGTTTTATATATACGCAGCTAGATACAAGAAAAATAACCAAAATTTTATCCCTCTCTGTATAAACTTACACACCATTGATCTATATAATAAAATATGTATAATTTTATTTATACATGTATACATGTTAATGTATATGAAATTATGCGACTGCATGTCTGTTTGTAATTTATTTTCCACTTTTATTTTGTGAGATAATCTTTTCTATGTCGATTTTATTTAAGAATATTATCAATAAATAAATACATAATACGCATATAACATGTATATATATATTTAAAAAAATTCATATATAATGAAATTCTATAATAATTGGCAATATTTTTACAGTACATAAATTGTACATACATAAGTAAAATATAAAATATTAAATGTGAATATGTATATGGTTAAATATACAAGTACAATGCAAAATTTCTAATGTATACGTACATATATTTTAAAAAGTAGAATTGAACTAAATATGTACGAGTATATATAAATTTAGTTTTACAAATGCATGTTCTACTTAAGTACATTCATAGATTATCACATATTTAAGAACTTTAAGAAAAACTATGAATATAAATCATATAAAATCAAGAAACAAAAACACATATCCCCAATTATGTGCGCTATTTTCTATATGAAACACAATAATTTATACATAGTGTTATAATTGTAACACTTATTTAAAAGTTTAGTCTAATTTAAAAGAAAACTGTATATGTAATTGCATGATTGCAATATTTCTGAAATTTACAAAGATAATCGCATAAACAGTCAGTCACATACAAAATCGAACAAAAATTTTATTTAGTTTTTAATACTCTTAAATTACAAAGTGCTTAAATAGATGATGTGATGAGGCACGAAGGGGTTTAAATTAAATCAAATTTATTTTATATTTTTAATATTAAAAAAAATAATTCTTATTTTTGAAAAGAAGAAATCTAATTCATTTAATTTATAGCTACTCAACTAAAACCACATTCACCACTGTCGTGGTGAACATTATTAAACATATAAGAATTGAAAATATGAACATTATTAAACATATAAGAATTTAATTTACAATAATAACGGGTGACTTTTTTCATCACTTTTAAAAGGAAAGCACAAAAAAAATCGTAAATTTGCATGCAATATTTATTTAAATTGGAATATCATTCTCATTCCCATAATAGGTTACTTTCGAAATGTTCATTGGAATACTTCATAAACTCCAGCCGAAATATCACAAATTATTAACTATTTTTATAGTTTCAATTGGCATCAAATGGCCGATATAAATAATAGATTTGAAGTACTGCCAAAAAATTACTTTATATATGAACTTTAAATCACATGATTTTAATTTTCAATTGAAAGGTCCACAATGTAAAATTTATTCCTAACCAAACGCTTTCTAAATTAATAATTGTTAAATATTAATACTTTGACCGCAATTTTTTGGCATAATTTTTTTAACGGTTTCAAACTTTGGTTTTGATTTAACGTTGACAAGTGTTATGTGTTATGAGTTGGAGATATAGGCACAAAAAATCATAGAGCACAAAATCACCCGTTAACAATGAGCATATATTACAATAGATCGTTTTTCTTGGATACCGTATATTGTGCATTCTATGAAAACAAACAAAGCTTATCGAAATAATCATAAAAAACAATAAAGTAATTTAAACTTTTATATAAACAAAAAATAAAAATAAAGTGCATTTTTATTGCCGGATTATTGCTTTAATAAACGGTAATTTTCATAAGATTGTATACACTATATACATTACATCCTACATTCTTACATTATTATTATTATTTTGAGCGATTAATGTATACAATAAGAGAAAAAATTTAAAATGTGTTTAAGAATAAAAAATTTTCATTCATTAAGATATTTGATTATAAAAGATATGTATACATATATAGTATAAGAATTATAAAGAATTTGGACGTCCTATGTCTTTTAAAACATATTATAAATTTAGAGTTATGAGTATAGTATTAATGGCTTCTTGAACTAATAATAACGCATTAAAATTGTAATAAATACGTAAAGTAAGCATAATTTAACAACACCTACCTATCTATAGTAGCAATTACCCTATATGCTTGTCAATATGTTCAAAGAGCATGTTAATGTAAAAATGTTTATTTTAACATAAAAAAAATCCCAAATCTATTGGAATTTATTTTGAAATTATTTCTTACTTTTTATATTTAAATTTTAGGCAAATCAATATAAATCTGGATTATAACCTGAATAAATAGACATAAATCTGACAAATATAAAAAGATATACATATATATATTTTTTATTAGTTTCAGTAAACCGTAATGTAATCAGGTGAAATTTTCAAATTAATTTTTTTCTATTTTATATAGGTGAAATCAAAATAAAAAACAAATTCTAAAATTATTCAATTTCCCTTGCATGATAGGGTAAAACTTAACAACAGTAAGATTTCTGACTCAGAGCTCGAATTGTCCTCCGGCATCAGCACCTCGCCACTTTTATAGTCTGACAGTATTCCCGGTGGTATAGTAAATGAAGAAATGTATTAAAATCACAATATTGCAAAATTCCAGCAATACGAATAAACGCCGAACCGTATACTCTAATCATTTTTTTTGAGTTATACATCTAGTTAGCCGACGGTTATCAAATGACTAACCCATATATTAAAATTACTCTAACCGCGTTTGTTTATAAACGCAAAACCATATATTTAGTTTTAATTTACCGCTCTTTTCAAAGTTTCTGTGTAGATGTAATTTGAGTAACGTGCAGAGTAAAAATTTTAAGACAAATATGCTGTCTGAGCTTTACACAACACCGTTTCCAAAAGCTTACTGATTGTGGGAAGATATCCTTATTTAGCCTCTAATGACAAGATTCGACAAACAGCAGAGATTAAGTGCTGCGCTGTGACGCCCTTTTGCTGTTATTGCACCTGAATACCTGACTATTCACAATATTTTTTCTATAATTACAATTCACAACATCTCCCTACAAAATAAAACGTTAACAAAAAAGTATTTTCTCAATCATGATACAACTTCAAATTCCTTTAATCAAATGTTCATGGCATGATAATATTAAAATCGTATTTTCTATCAAATAAGTAGGTATACATAGATGTTCTTCCTTTTTTTTATATCAGCGAATATTCATTTTCTCTTGCTACATGTTTTTTATTTAATTTTGTTTTATTTCTTTCATTCTACCATAATACCACCGATATATGAAATGATGATTCTATACGATTCGGCGCAAAAATACAACCGGAAAACCATGTGGTGGTTAGCTACATGGTTTGTTTAATTCATTTTATATAAAAATAATTGATGTAATGTAATCAGATCGAAGGAAATAGCATTGAAACTACTTGATTAAAAAAAAAATTGTAAAAAAAAATTATATTTAAAGAATCTAAATTAACAATTCCAAACTAAGTCATAATAATTTTGAGATTTTTATTTTAAAATAGAATTTATATGGCACCCTTTGAGAGCCTCTTTATTTAAATAAGGTAAATAGTAACATTTCTGCTTTCGTTTATTAGACAGTGGCCAAATGGATTCAATATCGCTTAAATTGTCGCTTCGACCAAATTTTTTGACATTTTTGATGTAATTTCCTTCTCCTTTTGTCACTTAGTCCAATTTTCATTGCAAACATTAAAAATTTTAAAGTACACTAAAACATATATAAAATATACAGTATACATTGAATATGTATGTGTACATGAATTGCAGTGCACAGTGTTATTGTAACTATTTGTCGGTAATGTCTGTAAACTTTTATTATCGTTTTTTCCGTTTCTATTTTATTTCTTTCGTCCTCTTGCTCTCAATTTCACTTTTTCTTTTTCATTTCTCTTTCTTTCATTATCATTATTTTGTGTTTTTTTTCCTATTCTATTATTTCTTTTTTTTCAAAATTTCTATATAAAAATTTATCTGATAATAAATGCTTTATTTTGAAATGGTTTTTTAATGATATCGAATGTATAACAGTAAAATGAAAGAAGAATGTATAAATGAAAAATTTTTTTATATTCATACATCATTATTATTTTGCATGTGTGTGTGTATAAATAAATATTCTTTTAAAGAAGATCAAAATATTTCGTTCAATACTAAAGGACATTCGAAATATTATTTTTATTTTTGTATTTTATACAATCGTAATGATAAATTTCTTCCATTTTAGGATAAAAATACATAAAATAATTTTTGCTATAAACTTTTGAATGAGTTCTTCCAATTGCAAAAAAGAAAATACTTAAGAAATTAAATTTGAAAAAAGAAAGAATCCATAAAAATATTTA